CCAATCCCAATCCCAGTCTGCCTAATCCCAGTCCCAGAGCAGACACGTTTGACGCAGCTACTTTTTTCCAATTTTTCCAACATTTAATCTCACTTCAGGTCCCAATGGTGAGCACTTCAGATCATTTTGCTGTTTGCTGTTTTCACTTCAACATCCCCATCCCAGAGATTTTTGCTGCTTGCTGTTTGCTGTTTGCTGTTTGTTGTTTGTTGTTTTCACTTCAACATCCCCATCCCAGAACTAACCTCAGTATCAGTTTTTCCTTGTTGAGCTTACGCCAGTCACTGCTGCTTCTTCGACTGGATTCTGTCCGGCTTCTGCTTCGGAAAGATGTACTTTCGCACATAAAAGTTTGCAAAAAGCACAAGCAGGGTCATCATGTAGTAATACAAGATCTGTAGAAATAAAAGACACACATAGGACACAGCCCCCATCACAAAAAAAATGATGCAATCAATTAGCATCTCAATACATGACAAGATCTGTAGGACACAGCGCCGATCACATAGCTATGCATTCAGTCAGCATCTAATGTTCTAATGTGTCAGAATTCTCAGGGAAAAAAAAAAAAAGGCAAGAAACAAACAAAAGCAGCTAAAATCCAGTCAGAAAGTTCAGAACCTGCCTGACTAGCGTTAATCGATCGGGTACATCGGGCCACGCCGCACCACTCGCCAAACGTGCCAAAATCTTGAACGTGTCTAGACCGCTGCATAGTCCATAATACTCCATATACATTCAAAATGTTGGTGTTTTTTGACAAGTGGCGTGGCAAGCCCCATACGCACCGCCGCCAGATACGGTGCCATAAATCAAACAACTGCTCCCACCACTCTGGAATGGAATCAAAGGCAGGTGACTCCAATATACGGTGCCCTCTGTTCGACCCCAGAGAGGCAGGAGGGGATTGATTCCTAGCCTGTCACATCATCATACCAAGCACTTCTTAGCAGTCCCTCCGCCCTTCTCACAGAAAGGACCTGCAGGGTATTCAACGGACCCTGGCATTCCCTGGCCGCAAACTTCTTTTCAATATATTGAACTGTTTTCCCAGGGGGTGGAAAAAAAAAAAAAAAAAAAACAGACGTGCATTGCGGCGAAGAACACAAATCAACCCACCACCATGTGGCCAGGCACCAAGCCCCGTTAGAGCTATGAGAGGAAACGAAGGCACACGATAAAACGACAAGCCGTTGACTTCGCCATTCACTACAGAAGAGGCTGTGGTGAGGACAGATGCTCCCCAGAATGGCCATGGCGCAACGACCATAAGGACCTGGCTTTTTTTTTTTTTAATCCAGTTCTTTTTCAAAAAGAATTTGACGCAGAAGAGGGCATAGGGAAGCCATAGATAGATAGCTCACCTTGAGAAGAAACTGAGGGTAATCGACGTTAGATTTGACACCAACATAGGCTTGGATTAGATTCATAGCAAACTGTACCATCTGCGTGATGGTTAAGTACCTGAGCCAAAATCGCATGCAGACAATCAACAGAGAGACAGGTTAGGTCATTTAACATTACAAGGGCAAGGAAGCAATGCCTTCTGTTTTAGTTGATTGACAAGAGAGATGAAAGACAGGATAGCTTCCTCTTCTCCCCCCCCCCCCA